ATCCTGTTAGTATGAAAAGTTTTCAGGCGAACTAAGGCCCTCTCGTCGTCAAAATTTTCCTGTGTGTGTGTGTGTATGTGAAGTCATTTTGTGTACTTGTCTTCTTGTGGTCACGAACCTGCCGTGTTGTTTGGAGACAAGGACTGCTGTCTACCTCGACCATCTTTCCCAGCGGGTGTGACGTTCTGGAGTCAGTTTAGTATGCTTGTCTTTTTTTTTTTGTCACTTTTGGCGCCGCTGACTGTTGTAGTGATTTGACTGTATTTACCATTGGGCCGACGTTAGAAGCAGTCTTGCTTGGTGAAAGTGTGGACTATTGGTCGACCCAATTCGAATCAAAGCGTTGGACAAAATTTGGCCTTTATTCTACGGTAACGTCATACGTGTACTTCGGCGGCGGTGAAGTTGTCCTTCCACCGTACTATCCTGTTCACTCCTGTTCACACATACGTTAAGCTCTCCGTGGACAGCCCGGGACGTCTCCCTACCACACTTTCTACGCGACAATGGTGTGCGCCCTGCAGGCGATGTATGCCCACAAACTTCCGGACACATTTACTTCGTTATTTTCAAAAGGTATGGAAGTATCATCGGCCAGGTTTCGCTTTCCCCCGGGGACACAAAGCACTTTTTCGAGCGTGTTTTTTGTCGCTTATTCAAGCCCTTACTCCAGCCAGAACGGGGCCGACAAAAAATAAGATCGCGAACGAGAGGTGAGAGAGGTCCGGGCTCTCGTATTGGCACCGCCAGTTTTTTTTTTTGTCCCGCATTTTATTCGCGGTGCAACAACACCGCACAGGTGGGTTCCAGTTCAACATTTTGGTGCACGCCGAGTACGCGTACTCGGCTTGTACTGCATGAAGAAACATAATTCAAAGTGCTGTACAACCATGAAGGAGACAGCTACAAGATGCGGGGCATCCCGTTGTCAACAGTCGTGAGACACCTAAGCATGAAGCTTGCGCGTGGATGCCGTTTTTCGACCAAATCCGTCCCTCCCTCCGGCTACGTGGAACACATAACTGCCAGGATTGGCCTACTCTCCATGCAGCAGTATGCTTTCGTGCCAAGTTTCGTGCCAATTGGCAACGTATTCAGCGCGTTCTCGTGTTCGCCAGGAAAGTGCCGTCGGCTCGGTAGAAGTTCCGCCGCGTCCATGGGGGCCGGTGCGCTTTCGCATATTGTTTTTGGGCCCACGTGAGGTCTTTCACTGCTGAGTTCTAGCGCTATAGTCTATGGAATTTCATCCTACTTGGGCCAACCGCTAGCTATTGGAGGCTTCTACAGCCGTAGCGCTTCATCTTGGAGGGTTGGCTCTGCTGTAGGCGTGTACAGCATGGTGAAGTGAGAATTGGCGCTTACGTACGTGTGATTTTTTTTTTTTTCTACGCTCAGCACTGTTGTCTCCGCTCATCCTTCGAACAAACAACAGTTCAATATGTATCATGTTCTGGACCCCCCTTAAAACACCAAATATCCCGGGGACATCCAGGAATATCCGTAACTCAACCATCTCTCTCGACCACTGCTGTCACATAGAACGGCGAATTCCTCCGTGTCTTCTCTCCCCTCCATTGCAATAGTGTCCCAACATTGCGCGAAAAAAAACAAAAAACACGCTGAAACTGATACTTCGATGTGACATGATAGTGTACCAAGCAGGAGTGATCAGTCTTAGCAGCAGGTGTGGCTGGTAAAGCACACCAATGCGAAGCGCAAGTGACGACTGCTGACTTCGCCCTTGCTACAGCAACACCTCACACTGCATTACCCTTCCTTCCATGTTCGAGATATCAAAGCGGGCCTGGCACCAGCATACAACAGAACGGCATCTCGAACCAAGCCTTTGTTACTCAAAAGTCATCGCGAGGTCAAATCAGTCCGACGAAATGTGTCCGTTCTCCTGTGCGCCGTTTTCTTCTTCGTGGTCATCCCCTGCATCAGATTCGACCTCGTTCTCATCCTCCTCTCTTTCTGGCTCATCTTCGTCTCCTTCTTCCTCCCCTTCGTCCCCCTCTTCCTCCCGGCTGTGGTTCCCGTTGCTGGTGGCACCGTTTGCTCCGTTCTGCCAGAACGCCGGTAGGACACGCGACAACAAGGGGTGATATCATGCTATATCATGCTCATCCGCTCCAAAGAGGCCTCATGACTCAACCGCTCAACCGTTGAGCAAGAGAAACGGCCAACACGTCCTACATACTCGATCTAGTGGGGGTCCGGTATCGGCGACTTTTTCACGTTTAAATAGTTCGTCGTGTTTCGAGCTCACTAACCCGAAGTACAGTTGTCTCGGAGCATACAGTACGTCTGCAAGTCAGGGTGGCAGCACAACAAGTGCAGTTGGTGACGCCGTGCACAGCAGGATAATTGAACAAGACTTGAGAGTCATCTCACCTCCGCAGCAGTGGCGTTATCCTCCTCGTCCTCGCCCTCGTCCTCGCTCTCCTTCTCGTGATCGTCTGTCGAAGACACCGCAAGAGGAACAAACAACGGCAGAGTTTCCGTGTGGAACACACGAAAGACACAAGCACCAACCTTCACTTCACAACTGGGCTCTTTCAGCGTAATGTGCCCCAGGCCCTTCCTTCCAGCTCCCACGTTCTTACATGAGCAGCCTACCACCGGATCTCGACGACAACCTGATCGTCAAGCGAAGGGGACCGTGCAGGAATACTACACTACACTACACGCCAACGGCAGCACTACACGCCAACGGCAGCACTGCCGACATGCTTCATAACAATCGACTCGATCCGTGCCAGGGCAACACCCTCGCACAGCACCCTGGCGCGCAGGCTCCCAAAACGTGCCTGCTCGGGCGTATGCATCGCTTCGCTTCGCGCCTTCCTCACAGCGCAATCTACATACACCCAGACAGACAGCGGGTGCACATCTACAGCAGTAGCACCGTTCTGCCGCACGTTCGTTTGCGTTTTTCGCCGTCGCCCAATCACGGTACGACATGGCTTGGGGTTCCGGGTGCCGCTGGGCGTGAAAAAATAGATGCAACAAACCTCCGCGGTGCACAAGGTCAAACATGCCCGGTTTTCCCGAACACCAGTAGATCACTAGGCTGGTGCTCGGTAGGTGACTGAGTTTGCGATTTGGATACCCTAACTCTTGCTCCACGCTCTTTTCACTAAAATAACCCAAATCCACGACAATCATTAAAGTGCAAGGCAATCGCCTACCGAGCACAAGCCTATGGCTAACATACTATGACTCCATTGTAAAAATGGTAACTGCACCTGCTGGGGAGCTATCCTTCCCCTTCCCCTTCCCGTTGCGGCGTCCGTCATCACTTCCACTGCGGCTGCGGCTGCGGCTGGCGCTGCGGCTGGCGCTGCGGCTGGCGCTGCGGCTGCGGCTGGCGCTGCGGCTGCGGCTGCGGCTGCGAGCGGAGCGCTTGCGGCTGTTGGTCGGCACGTACAGGTCGTTCAAACAAAGACAAGGCGGAAATCAACAAAGTGGTCATCACGATTGTGGTACGTTAGACCCCCAAAGCAGTTTCCTGGTAGCACATCCAGGCCCAGTGGCTGTGATAGGCCAGACGACGTGAGGCAATCTCCTTTGCTTCAAACTAGCAGCCCTGGAAAGTGGTTTCGTGCATACAGCAGCACACAGTACATCGGATCAAACAAGACAAAAAGAGGGCTTTTCTGCATAACCGTGCTGTTCGTACTAACAATGAAAAAAAAAAGGCGCAGGGCCTCGAGGAGTCAACGGCACTTGGTACAGCTTCCCCATACTGCAATACGAGCTACAAGCTACGATAGTGTCGTTGCTGTTGTCGCCACATCTTCTGCAACCCGTCAGCATGGTCGTCAGCATGGTCGAAACCACCCAAGAAGGAGAACAACAAATCAACCTAACCAAGGATGTGTTTAGTACAGTACAGTACTTTTGTTCCAGTATTGAAGTCCGTACTAAAGCAGCCAGTACAGTACAGTACTGAGGGCCGTATTGTCAGTACAGTACATTCCAGTATCGGGAGCTGTACTTAAAGTACTGACACTTTTATTCCAGTATCGAGAGCTGTACTAAAACAGCCAGTGCATTCCAGTATGCCTCGCAGGTNTATTGAAGTCCGTACTAAAGCAGCCAGTACAGTACAGTACTGAGGGCCGTATTGTCAGTACAGTACATTCCAGTATCGGGAGCTGTACTTAAAGTACTGACACTTTTATTCCAGTATCGAGAGCTGTACTAAAACAGCCAGTACATCCCAGTATCAAGAGCCGTATTAAGGGTGCAGTTTATTCCAGTATCGACAGCTGTACTTAAAGTACTGAAACTTTTTATTCCAGTATCGAGAGCTGTACTAAAACAGCCAGTACATCCCAGTATCAAGAGCCGTATTAAGGGTGCAGTTTATTCCAGTATCGACAGCTGTACTTAAAGTACTGAAACTTTTTATTCCAGTATCGAGAGCTGTACTAAAACAGCCAGTACATCCCAGTATCAAGAGCCGTATTAAGGGTGCAGTTTATTCCAGTATCGACAGCTGTACTTAAAGTACTGAAACTTTTTATTCCAGTATCGAGAGCTGTACTAAAACAGCCAGTGCATTCCAGTATGCCTCGCAGGGACTGAACACTGTGCAGTACCGCCAGTATCAAGCGCTGTACTGAAGCGTGCAGCGTTGCGCAGTATTACACCAGTACAGGATGGAGAGCAGACCTCCACCAGAGCTCGTACTGAGCGTACTGATAGGTTGAGCGGAGTATCGAAAGCCGTACTATAATAATAGTGACAATATATGCTACAGTAGTAGGGTTAGTAATTTCCACAGCTGAACAAGTAGCTGTCCTCACGGGCTCCTTCCCGCTTGTGACCGGGCGGGGGTACGAACGCCTCGATGGCAGCGATCGTAGCCGCCGGCGCCTCGACCTTCCTTCCGTGTTTGTCGTATATCGGAGCGGGCTTCTTTTGCCGCACCGACGGCGAACCTCCCCCACCCATAGAACCCGCCTCCACGTCTCCTTGCTTCTTCTCTTGGGTTAGGTCGGCCGAACTACCTGCGGCGTCACCCATCGCTGCCTTGTGCTGGCTGCGGGCCACTGCTCGAGTACCAGTAGTCAAGTTCCGCAGTACACTGGACACGGCAGTACGACGTAGTCGTGTACTTGCAGCAGGAGTGGGACTCTAGGACTAGACCAATTGGACGAGGCTGTGCCGCATTTGTGCCAGAAGATGACGTCACCAACACGCCCTTCGGTGGATTTCGGGTAGATACCGGGTAGATACGGGCAGTCGTACGACCCCTACCGTCCAGTATCGACACCCGTACTAAAACGTGCAGTACGTTTATTCCAGTATTGAAGTCCGTACTAGAGCAGCCAGTACAGTACAGTATCGAAAGCTGTACTAAAAGTACTGACACTTTTATTCCAGTATCGAGAGCTGTACTAAAACAGCCAGTATATTCCAGTATCAAGAGCCGTACTAAGCGTGCAGTTTATTCCAGTATCGAGAGCTGTACTAAAAGTACTGACACTACTGCAGTTTCGAGAGTTGTACTAAAACAGCCAGTTATTCCAGTATGCCTCGCAGGTACTGAATACTGTGCAGTACCGCCAGTACTATACTGTACTTACACACCCGTGAACCTAACATACGAGACACACCAAATAACTTCCGAGACACACGCAAGATACCATACGAGACACACAAGATAACATACGAGAAACACACAACATGACACGCAAGACTTACGAACACACAAAACACACACCTCCGCTTAGGCCTGGAGCGCGACCTTGACCTTGACCTTGACATTGAGCGAGAGTAGCGAGAGCGAGAGCGGCTAGCACTGCGCTGCCTCTTGTGCTTCACGGGTCTGACGCAACGCACAACGCACGCCACGAACACATAGCATGATGGTACATGCGGTACAATCGATGGGGGGTCGTGAGGATGTGAAGCGATTGCGGAAAGTCCTACAACTTGTTCCATGAATCACGGCAATCGATCGGGGGAGAAGGTATGAACAACAACACCAGCAATAACCCTAACCCTAACCCTAACCTGAACCCTAAGGTTCATCAAAGACAACAACCTACCGAGGGTGATAATGACACCGCTGCTCGAAGATAACAAGATAAGCATGTGCAGATTCATCGTCACTCCTGTCGTTGGCTAGGGCAAAGGGCAGACGAGGCAAGTCCATCAGTACTGTAGTGTACAGCACACAACAGCTGACAACGCGCTGCTGGAAACGACGGGCTCTACGCGTATCAATGTATACCAGATGCGTGACCGACCAACCCAAGGTTATGTGCATCATGCGTCAAACATATCACACAATAGGTGTACCATACCGAAAAAGGTGCACTGCTGAAGGCCGGCGTCAGGTCAGACAGCACTAAAAGTCACGCAAACCAACAGCTACGTTTTCCATTCAACGCAAGGATCACAGGATCACATCACAGTAGTGCTGCTCTTGTGCAATCCGACCAACGACTTTTACAAAGAGCGTGGTCCAATGCTAGTGTTCCTATGTGGACCTATAGCTAGACTTGGGCATGGTCCAATAGTAGTATTCCTACGTGGACCTACAGACGCCAGCATGTTCCTATCCTATCCTACCTACCCTATCTTAAGCTCAGACCGACAAGTACCTGGACTTGGATCGGGACCTGGATCGGGACCGGGAGGGAGAGGGAGAGCGGCGACTCTTCCGGGGAGGGCTGGGGTTTTCGTCACGCCTAGCCTTGCACTTGGGGTCCTCCTGGTTCGATCACGGTGGCGGCCATGGCGGTGCCAGCAGCGGCATCGGTAGTACAGCAGTCAAGGTGATGGTGACCCGCAGCACAGCACGCATGAGAGACGGTGCTACTCGAAAACACCGCGTGGATACTGCATGGGTAACATGGCGGTCACCGAGCAGCCTCACGAAAACATGATAAACCAAGACATCGCTTGGACACGTGCCATGCGAAGCATATAGCAACATTAACCAACCAATCACCACGGCTACCACGACCCACTTTTAAGAATATAGATGCGGGTCAAACAGCAAGCACCGAGGCCTCAGATCGATAACCGTACACGCAACATTATAGGACGAACTCGTCGATGAAACGATAAACCCGGTCTTAGTCCGTCCGAAACGAACAAAACAAAACACGAAACAACACAAAACAGCAAAACTCACGATGAGACGGATGTATTCCCCGTCGAACTTGGTGTTGTCCAGCTTCCTGATCACGTGCTCCATTTCGTCCAGCGAGTTAAACTCTACCAGCCCCTCGCCCTTGGTGTAGATCTGAACATAGCCCGGCTCCGCGTACTTGCGGAACAGGCTGCACAACAATTAGCGGCGAGTTGGATGGGCGGAGGGCTGGTATGAAGTACTGGATAGATGCGAATGGCGGCACAAGACTCGGCGTTAGGAATTCTAGCCGGGGCACAACACAAGGCAAGGTTTACTCGCCTGCTGTACAGCAAGCCAGCAGCAACCAGCAAGCAGGAACAAGCTGGCCTGTGGTCTCTAGTTGATGATAGTCACGGACAGCAGTGTGCTGAGCGTCACACCGCGGCATGGTATGTAGAGAGTCTACCTTGGCTGATGCAGCTAAATCTCTTGCCGAACAGCGGCCCCACGTCCGGCGACAAGTATCGTACTGCTGTGCCTGAAGCAAGGGATGTTGCCCATGAAGCTCATCCACCACTATCCCCAACAACGGATATACCACCAATCAATCTCAAGTCAATCGAGGGGCGGGAGTCGACTGCACCTTAAAGGGGCAACATGTTCGACAGTGCCGACATCGATATTGTACTGACTGCACGGCAGTACTACGCCATAGAAATACCATCCAAGATCATGACAGACAACAATCCACATCCGGCAAACAAGCTGAGCGATTCGAAACCATTCCCGATAAATGGAAAACTAACCAATCGAGACCTGTGCGAGGGACGTCGAGTCAATGAAAAAAAAAAAAACACGTACACCATAATAGGTCGCCTCTATGCAGGCAAGACCTCCCTCCTCGAGAAGCCAAGCACCCCCCCCCCCCTACCTCTTGATGTCCTGCCANCGAGAAGCCAAGCCCCCCCCCCCCCCTACCTCTTGATGTCCTGCCACGAGGTACCGGTAGGTAGGCCGGAGAGGTTGACACGGTAGTCCGTGCGACGGGGGCCCTTCTTTTGAGAGTAACGGTCAGGTCCACCACGCAGCCCGCTGACAAGGCGCCACAAAATACGGAACACAGGATTGACGCTACAGAAGGTGGATAGTGGATATGTAGTGCAGTATTACTGCTGCCACCCGAGTCACATGGGCAACCGACTCACATGGTCTACGACAGGATTGAGCGGTGAAAGTCAAGAGACAACGGGAGAGGTTCAACACATAGCAAGAGCTAGCTGACTACTGCACGAAAACTGTCGTGGCGAAATCGATCATCGAGATGCTGGAGAAGAAGGGGACGAGTCGACCTGATTCCGCAAAAGCAACAAATAGCAAGAAAGCCGCGTGAGGAAATGAAAACCAAATAGACAGGTATCATACGGCACCCCCCACGCACATCGCACACGTAACAACCCGCACAGACAAGGCAACCACCCGTCCATACCGTCCTACCCCAGGACGCCCGCTTAATGTACCTATCGCGGGCGTAGTCCCTGCCCCTGCCATCCCTGTCCCGATCGCGTCCCCTGTCCCTGTCATCCCTGTCATAGTCGCGGTCTCTGTCCCTACCCCCCCCCCCCCCCCCCCCCCCCCCCCCCCCCCCCCCCCCCCCCCCCCCCC